ATGGTAGCAAGAACCGGTCCCTTCAGGTGCTTGCATCATTTTCTAGATAATTTAGAAAACCATTATTGTCAGACAAAGCTTGAGCCTGTTCTTCCGCATTGCCATTAACAGAGCTAAGTTGCAGAGCGCAGGCCTCGCCCTCATTGTTTCCTCCCTCTCTCTGTACTACGGGGCAACACGGACTGAAAGCCAATCCCTGGACACTGAAAGAAAAAGTGGGGAGGGGAATGAGAAGACCCAAGGCAACCGGCACATTTTCAAACAATTTGCAGTACAGTCTGCACAGTAAGGGCAGAGTCAGGATCACACAGACTGCACTTTCCCAAACAGACACATCCTCTTCCTGGGCAGAGGTTTGAGTTACTAAGGCTTGATGTCTGCGTCTCACAAGCCTTTCACCTCCTGTCACCTGAAGGAAAAGTACGTTTCAAGCAGGGGAGGGGAACTTGTCAAGAGAGAAGGCAGCTCGGAGAAGAAATGAGACGGTCGCTCCCTCTGTGTTGGATTCGCACACAGATTTTATTTTGCTGGTGAGTGTTGGAGAGATCAGTAGAGTTATGCTGTGCTTTTCCCTCCCTCCTACCCCCTCTTGTCTACATGCTTCAAATCTATTTATACAAATGGTGACTTTGGAAATATGCTAGTGGGGTGGTTCACTTTGCCAGGGTTTGTTTTAGATGCAGCCAACACGGATGTGTTGGGATCAACACCCATGTTTGTGCTTGGTAGGAGCAACACAGTCGTTTTACAGGGCATGATAGTGTCATCACCTTCAGTTGATAATCTAAAGTATTATTTCTAAGCAACATTAGACCACAGAAACAAAATTATTATTTAAGGAAAACTATGAAGAAGTATTGAAAATAGAGAAAATTTCAAATCAGTACAAACTAATGATCAACTTCACACACTTTGCACCTGTAACACAGCCCTGTTTTATGAGTTTACCTATTCTGCTCCTCCGACAACGTGGCCTCACGAGTCGGCTGGTATTATATGTATTTCAGTTTTTCAGGAAAATGCATTTCCTGAGCACTCGTTTACATTATGCTAGTTGTGTGACCATGTGTCATATTATTGAGAAAATTACTACATGCATGACAAACAACATACAGCATACTCACTGTGTTCTACCAGCATCTATCCATGCAGATAGTTTTGGTTTTATTTGAGATATCAGGGTTATGCCTCATTGCCTCATACACTGGAGGTGCCTTTTCGTGCTCAAAGCATTAAAAATCTTACAATCTACAATGATTTTTAAAGTTCATTGTACACAACATTGTGCTGGAAATCACCAGAGTTGAATTAATCTCTGTGTCTCCACCCATCAACGTGTCTATAGTATGCATCCACTGGACACACATAATCACTTTTCAGTGTCTATATATGTTGCAGAATTAATTTAACACTGGGGAAACTGCAGACTACCTGCATGATTTGTAGATACAGTATGACAGGATGCCCCATTACATGACACCCCTTATATTCTAATTATCATATGTTACATGTGTAGGTCAAAGTCAAGCTGGTATGGGTGCCTGTCTCCAAACTGGCCAGTAAAAATCCACAGCCCTCTGTCAGAACACTGGCAATAGTAAGGATGTGTAGCTGATGTATGCTTTAAGGAAAGCTTGACCCAGTCTGAAAAAGTGTACTCTATAACAAAGATCTGTGTGTAATACTGTTTCTGCGTAAGAGCAGCAAGAAGTGAAACACAGGTGAGCTTCTCATTATAAGGCAGAGAGAAAAGAGAACCATTCTAAACCAGTGACCACATTAGGTGCTGCTCACAGTGTGCAGTGGGAGTCCCATCATGATCGGCACTTGGTTTTAGCCCAGCCCCAGGCGGAAACAGGCTATTCTTATCCCGCATTGTACCGCAGAGCGATTCTGATGCTGCCTATTGTGTCCAGGTGCATTTTTATGACTCTCAGCGATTTCAGTGGGTCTGGACCTTAAACCCCTCTATTATGGACACAATTGTATTGCAACATCTGCTGTGTTGGCTTTTGCATTCAGTTGCCTCCTCCCCTTCATCTCACCATCATTTGAATTCAGTTGCGGTTAAAAATAGGTTTTAACCGAGCTCAGCACACACTTTGTCACTGAGAAAATCAAGTGTGACTGTAGCTATTTTAATGACACCTTGAGGTGATTAATAGATAAAAGTGACAGCAGAGAAAATACTAAATATGACATATCATGATATGATATATCATAAAATATCAAAACCCCGAAAAATGAACATAAGTTGAGGTCTGACTCGATGGCGAAAAAACTCCTAAGGAACAATATGAAATTGTTTTGGAAAGATGTCAAATATATTAAAGGGATACCTTTGAAAGGGATAGTAGTTTATGGTTGATGTCTTGTATTCGGTTTTTCTTTTTATTGTTGTTTCCTCTTCTTTCCTTTTCAACTGTTTTTTTTAAATTGTTTTTTAGTTTTTGAACTTGGACCTTGAGTCTATAATAAAGTGTCATTCATTCATAACCTAAAAATTTGAATATCTGTGGCACTTTTCATACAAATGGGGAAGGTACTGGCCAAGCAGGTTTTTGACATTTTGCCTTCATCTCTTTGAAAACAAAAGAACCGGTTATTATTCAATTTGTGTTTCAAACAAGTATTGGTCCAACTCATTCACCACAGTAATGTGCTGTCTCTCTCTTCTCAGACTTTTTACACAACAGCTTCATGGGTGAACGATGAATTTACATCCACTGGGGGCCTGTGAGTGTCTGAATGATTCTGTGGCAATGGAGGGTGTTTTCCCAGAACAAGTGACTCCCACTGCATCTTAACATAAAAGCCTAGGATGGAAAGCCAAGCAAGAATTGCTGAGTCACTGGAACAGCATTCTCAACCCCCACAACCTCTGCTGTCTTGTGTCCTTGGCACACACTGACACATCTAACTGCTTCACCACCATCACCATCCAGACAGGTACCACCTCCACTGGGTGACAAGACTCCAGGATGTTTGTGAATTTTCGCTGGATACGAAAATGCCAGTGTGTGCAACTGATGACCACCTGCCTAGTTCTTTCAGTGGTGATGGTTTGCTGGGAGCAGCTGGACGATGGCATCATCAGCCATGTCAAGTCCTACTCCTACCGATACGTGATCAACAGCTTCACCTACATCAACAAGAGCCTCACCATACCACGTGAGCAGGCAAGAAGCTTCAGCAACTTCCGTTACCTGCTGGACCCCCGAGATAAGTGCGCGGGCAAAGACGTCCTCCTCCTCCTCTTTGTTAAAACACCCCCAAAGAACACTGAGAGGCGAAGCGCCATCAGATCCACCTGGGGCAATGAGACCTATATCCAAAGCTCCCTGGGAGTGACAGTCAAGGTGGTGTTCGCTTTAGGTTCACCTAAGACCAAGGAGGAGGAGCTCTCGTGGAGCATGAGGGGTGGGGTTGACATTCAGGAGCAGCTTATCCACGAGGATGGTCTTCACGGGGATTTGATTCAACAAGACTTTTTAGACTCCTTCTACAACCTGACCCTGAAGCTGATCCTGCAGTTCCACTGGATGCACAGCCGCTGCGCACACGCTCGATTCTTCATGACAGCTGATGACGACGTCTTCATCCACATGCCCAACCTGGTGAATTACCTGCAGGACTTGAGCAACAGAGGTGTCACAGACTTTTGGGTTGGTTATGTGCACAGAGGGACACCGCCCATCCGCAGGAAAGACAGCAAGTACTATGTGCCTTTTGAGATGTACCCATGGGTGTCGTACCCTGACTACACTGCTGGGTCCGCATATGTTGTCTCCAGTGATGTAGTTGACAAAATCTACCAAGCCACCCTGACCCTGAACGCCTCTCTTTATATAGATGATGTGTTCATGGGCATTTGTGCCAATGCTGTCGGTTTGTCACCACAGGAACATATCTATTTCTCAGGAGGGGGCAAAGCACCTTACCACTGGTGTATCTATAACCAGATGATGACCTCACATGGTCATGTGGAGGATATCTATGACCTGTGGAAGGAGGCAACACACCCCCAGGTGAAACAGTGGACATCTGGACTCACAGGCGGGCTTTACTGCACAGCCGTGAAAATAGCTCTTCTTTGTAATCCTTTCTATGTAAACGGATACCCCTGCAAAGCAGCCTTTTTGTAGTAGCATTCATGTTTGTGTGTGTCTTGGTGCAAGTGCATGAAAGAGAGAGAGAGGGAGAGTGTCACACTGTGGATCATGAGATGAGGATCATTCTTACAATGGTGGTGCAGTGGTTAGCGCTGTCCACCTCACAACAAGAAGCCTTGGCTGACTCGGTGCCTTTCTGTGTAGATGTTACATATTCTCCCTGTGCCTGCGTGGGTTCTCTCCTGTACTCCGGCTTCCTCCCACAGTGCAAAGACATGTCGATTGGTGACTCTAAATTGCCAATAGGACTGAGTGTGAGTGTGTGTGTGTGGTTGTCTACATGTCATCCGTGTGATAGACTGGTGGCCTTTCCAGGGTGTACTCTGACTGAGGTTGAGTAGGCATCGAACTTAAACGTTTCCTTTGTGGTAATGGTGAGGAAGCATGTGTGCGCCAAATGTACTTTTTATCTCCCCCTTTTTTTTGTAGTGAAATTTGTGAAAATGTTTCTTAATGAAATAAAATCTGTACTATATCATTAGTAACAAGCGTTTTCAAATATTTGCTTCAATACTAATTGTCACCACTCATGTCAGTTTGTTGAACAGGAAACGACTGCAGTGGAAAGAAAAACAGGAACAGTTTAAGGTTTTGTTGGTTTGACCTCAGAACTCTCAGTTTCATCGCATTGTCTGGGGTAACCTGCAACAAACCTGTTCACTCATGTGAATTAGAAACAGGTTCATTACTAAGTAGGTTTTTGCTACAAGGAATGTCTTATGGTGCAAACTGATTAAAAAAAATACACAGTTGAAAAAAGGAAAATTGTTAGTGCTACAAAAAAATGAATTATAAAGATAAAAATGTTTTACAATACACCTATGCTAAACAAATGCACACTTCAAGAGAGGCGTTGTATGGTGTACAAAACAGGCTGACTGAGGTAGTGTATAATGTAGGTGCTTTGTTTTGTAAGAATTGTCCAATGTATTAAATATTCTAAACACAAAATATAACCAAATGTTTTAAAACAAGTTCTTCCACAGTAAAAGTGTTCCTTTATGCTTGAGAGTGACGCACTTTGGCTCAGTAGCATGGACAGGATTACCCAAATGTTAGATATGTAGGTTCAAAGTCCAAGCAGCCCCTCAGACCACAGATAATTTTGTAGATAATCAATAATAAATTTTTTAAATTATTGAGAATATAAATGTTCACTTTTTTTGCTGAGTAGGACACAATTAGCTTGGCACAAACACTGGCAACAGCTAGCCTAACTGTGTTCAAAGGTTCATAACAGCACTTCTAAAGGCAGGGCATACATCATGCATGAAAGCCCTCCACAGTTTACTCTAAAACACCTTTTTATAAGTGAACTACTGACCTTTTGACCTATTTGTTTTAGGGATTTTCTGTCAGGCGTGATCTGTAGAGTCAAAAATACCCCCAGCATCAGTGTCTCCAGAGGGTCTGATCCAAGGAGGCATCTGGCACGCTGCTGTCAAGTATTAACAGCTGCTGGTCCAGTGTCAGGGTCACAGTCATGTGATAAATGCCATACCCTTCAAAGATTAAACTAAATGGTGGTAGTTTTTCAGTGGAGCAATACCAGTCTTGAGCTACAAAGGACTTTTTTACACACATTCACATTTTGACACTTGCACATCACTGAAGTAGTTATTTTTCTGTGGTATTATTCTCAGCTAAAAAGTTGTTTGGAATTTCTTATTGTGTTTATCTGCATTGTTCATTCTCTATAATCTCCTCGTTTCTGCTGCAGCAGCAGCCCGGTTTCATCATTGAGAACAATGAATTTGTACCACATCTCATCTCGCTGAATAACTTTTAATCATACGTGAGTCAGCGTCACTGTCTGCCAGACTAATGTCATGGAAATGTCACCCTCCCCTAACTTCACCTCAGCTCACTATGAATCATCTAGATGTTTATTTATGGCACCACATCCTGAAATGCGATGGTGTCGAGATTAGCTGTTCCCCAAACAGCTGCTCTGTTTCCCTGGCAACTTGAAAAAAAAAGAATAATCACACAAGAGATTTAGACAAGCCCAAAACCAAGTGCAGCTGCCTACCTCTGTTTACTGTGGGTTAATTTCAAGATGTTTGCTTAAACATTAAAAATATGCATTTATATTGATTTAAATAAAAAAAAAAATCTGATTATGTCACGTACAGTATGTGAGCTGTTTAGTCCAATTCCCCTTGGAGACAGAAACTGGTTTGGTATTTTTATATTTGCTTAAGTGATCGGTTCTAAGCATGAGCCCATGAGGAGTCAGTCGCTGACTGTAGCCATCTAGTGAATGAGACTCATCTTTAGTCACTTCCCAAGAGGTTGCAAAGTAATTGTGTTGACATAGTTAACATGCTAAATATAGCAGCAGACTGTGCTGGTCAATGGACCAGCTGAGCCTCATAGGCAAATTATTACTAAAACGAATTAAAATATACTTTAAAGAGCTTGTCTTGGAATAAAAACTGGCTCCTCTTGGGCAAGAGTCTAAATGTGACCTTCACAGGTATGCCTTTTCTCATTAGGGAGTATAAACATGCTCACTCTGAACATACCCTTTAGCTTGTTTCACCCTGTATAGCCAAGTCTGCATCCAAACAGGGTTTGTACAGTTTACATAAGATGATTTACACAGAGTATCTGGCAAGGCAGAAAAGTCCAGATGAAAACCAGTGACTTCAAACTTTTGGAGCATAAAAGTCTTTATGCTATTCTGAGAAACAGGCAAGAAGATTGATTCTTTAAGGCTGCATGGTGACTAATTTTTATGAAAGTCTTTAGCACTTTCAATATTTCCATAACACTTCAGAATTGCATTGCTGACAAATATGCAAATGTTGTAAATGGTGTCATGTAAAACAAGAAGGATAATGTAGACAATTTTCTTTTAAACGATTAAAGTACATAAAATGGATTTTCAAAAGTATCCATCCATCCATCCATCCATTTTCCTCCGCTTATCCGGGACCGGGTCATGGGGGCAGCAGTCTAAGCAAAGATGCCCAGACTTCCCTCTCTCCAGACACTTCCTCCAGCCCAGGAGGCATCCGAAACAGATGCCCGAGCCACCTCAGCTGGCTGATGTGGAGGAGCAGCGGTTCTACTCTGAGCTCCTCCCGGGTGACCGAGCTCCTCACCCTATCTCTAAGGGTGCGCCCGGCCGCCCTGCGGAGGAATCTCATTTCGGCCGCCTGTATCCGGGATCACACGTTACATTGTTTTTGGTTTAATAATTCTAACTTGTGATAACATGAGCGAGAATGCCTGCACACTGAACAAAAACGCCTGAATTTTACGGTCACTTTAAAGTTCCAATGGTCATGTTATTAGGAAGGAGCAAAGCCTAGCCTTTTTATGATGCAAATCAACTCAGTTGACCTTGTTCTCTGTAGTGCAGAGAAGGTCTGACTTATTTTACCCTGTATGTATTTAGAACTGTGAACTGGTTGTCAATCTGCACTGATTTAGCAAGTTAAACAATGCACAACCCGTAATGTTTCTAAAAAGCAGTATAACTATCACTCATTTCTCACCGCAACTGTGTACCATGTTTGTTCTCTACTCATTTTCTGTCACTTTGGATTTACCTGTCAGTTTAGAAAACACTTTCAGAGTAAATTGTGTAGGAATATGGTGTTGGGAAAAGAGGATAGACGAATTTATGTTGCCAAGCTAAGAGCTCACAAGAAATAACACTGTAAAGGGTCAATTTTCGCTTTAGTAACTGGGGTATTGTCCCTGCAGAGCTCAATTCCTTCCTGTGTTACTTCAATACAAAGCCTGTCACATTGTGGACACTGTGGACATTCAGCCCACAGTATAATCTTGTTATAAGAATGTTAAGAGTAAAACTCAGTAGTAATACATGTTCAATATGGTGCTAACCTGTATACTTGAAATTCTCATCACAGACATTAAGGCAAATAAACCCAAATTGGGTGTCCACGAGTTTTCTTTTTAAAGAGTCATCCAAGTCATTTGTCTCTGCCAGTCTTACTCCCCCAAAGAACCCAAATGCACCCCTGGCTGGTACCACATCTATTGAGCAAACTAGGACCAATGACAACCCAATGTAAATATCAAACTGCCTGAAGTATCCCTGCATCAATGATGTAACGCTTTGCAGGAGTGGGACAAATTCCCCTGTTGGGAGGCCTCCCCACATGTCCGGAAAATCTAATAAGCATACGAAACGCAAAACTTGAACCTCACTGGACCTACTTGAAGCGCAAGTCTCCCACTTAGCAGAGCGAGATGACCCAGAGGCCTAACGCTAAAGTACAATCAACTATTTCTATCAAAAGCAGGGTGGTGAATAATCTCCATAACAGCACTTATCAAGATACAAAGTGCAGCTTATGTTTGAAAAAGTCCCAGTGTATCTAATCTAGCCATTTAACTTGACAAAATATCACACATGCACCTCAGATGCCAAAACAGAATTTAAATGTATTATAATAGATGATCTATGGGCTGAACAAGCACTTGAGAAAGCCAGTATTCCAAATAGCGGTACAGCTAATTAATCTAATGTGTCAGTGTATAAAGTGAGCATAAAGGAGAGTAATATGCAGTCTCAGACCAATCTCAGGCAGAATTTACCCCAATAACCAAAGTAGTGCAGGGCGATTAAAATGCCTGACTTATACATTGACTGTACGTGACCATGGTAAATGGGCATGAAGAAGTGAGACGGTTAACAACTGAACTTCTCCCCCTGTAGGGCATGTGGCAAACTAACACAAAATAGATGGCCATGGTGGGCATGTTGGGCAGACAGTCCCTTCACTACTTCCTTTATGAGTGTGTCTGCAGGTCCTACAATAGTAAACTGGTCCCACATCATGGAGGTAGTCAGATGGTTAGCAACTGAAACTCCTCCATCTGTAAGGTATCTGAAGCAAACACAAAAGACAGATATACTGTAGATTGCCACCAAATATGGTGACCATGTTTGACAAAGAGACACAAAATGCCGTGTCATTTCAGCCCTCACCTTATGAGTGTCCTGCCACGCAGCCACGCCACGACTAGCGCTGCTTGTTGTGGTGTCTCATGTCACACACCTGCAGTAGGCAGAGGCACATTATGATGCACTGAAGAACAGGATTGTCTAAACAAAATTTACTTTCACAGATGTTTAGTGCTTTACCATTTTTTCAGACTC